ATCCACCCTAACCTGCACATCCCTGGGCACTATGGGGCAATTTAGCATGGCCAATCCACCCTAACCTGCACACCTTTGGACTGTGGGAGGAAACCGGAGCACCCGGAGGAAATCCACGCAGATACGGGGAGAATGTGCAAACTCCACACAGACGGTTGCCTGAGGGTGGGATCGAACCTGGGTCCCATGCCGAATCATTTAGAAGAATGGAGGGGGGCAAGATCTTATAGAAACATATAAAGTTATGAAGGGAATAGATAAGATAGAAGCAGGGGGGTTGTTTCCACTGGTGGATGAGACTAGAACAAGGGGGCATAGCCTCAAAATAAGGGGGAAGCAGATGTAGGACTGAGCTGAGGAGGAACTTCTTCACTCAAAGGGTTGTGAATCTGTGGAATCTGCCCAGTGAGGCTACCTCGTTGAATGTTTTTAAGGCAAAGATAGATTTCTGAACAGTAAAGGGATTAAGGGTTACAGTGAACGGGCAGGTAAGGGGAGCTGAGTCCACGAACAGATCAGCCACAGTCTTATTGAATGGGAGAGCAGGATCGAAGGGGCCAGATGGCCCACTCCTGCTCCTATTTCTTACGTTAACCTGCGGGTCACCACGCCTCAGGCCAGGGGAGAGGTTGAGAAGGAGAATCCTTTATGGTGACCTCATCCAGTGTGTGGGAACTGGACCCTCACTGTTGGGTGTCACTCTGCCTCACAAACCCAGCCGACTGAGCTAACCGACTCCCCTGTCTATGGAAGTAATCACCTCCCCACTATCATCTGAATGGCGACAGATTGGTAACGTGGGCCTCTGGCTGTCCTTGCATGCCAGCCGTTATAATGAAGCTTGGAGGGACAGCAGGCAGTGAAGGAGGTAAATGGCACTTCGGCCTTTGTAGCGAGAGGATTGGAGCACAGGAGCAGGAACGTCTTGCTGCAGTTGTATTTGGGCCTTGGTGGGACCACCCCCTGGAGTATTGTGTGCAGTCTGGGCTCTCCTTCCCTCAGAAGATTTATACAGAGAGACGTGGGCGTGTGGAATGCGCTGCCAGCAGTGGGAGTGGAGTCAGATACTTTTGAGACTTTTAAGCGACTCTTGGATAGGCACATGGAGGATAGTAAAATGTAGGGTATGCAGGGTAGATTGATCTTAGTAGAATAATAGGTCGGCACAACATCGTGGGTCGAAGGGCCTGTGTTATTCTATGTTCTCTAAGGTATACTTGCCGTAGAGGAATAACAGTAGAGGGTCACTCAGCTGATACCAGGGCCGGTAGGACTATAGATTGGTTTGACTCAGGCCTGTGTTCACTAGAGTTTGGAAAGATGGGAGAGCGATCTGATCGAAATGTATAAAATTCTAACAGGGCTCAATGCAGGGAGCATGATTCCCCTGAGAGGGTGGGTCCAGAACCAGAGGACACAGGCAGGGGGCTGGGTGGTGGGGGGGGAAGGGAGGTGGATAATTTAGGACTGAAATGAGGAAACGCCTCTTCACCTGGAGGGTGGTGAACCTGAGGAATTCTCTGCCACAGGGGGTGGGGGCCAAGTCACTGACTGTATCCAAGGAAACGTTCCAGACTTTAAGGGGTTTGGCGGGTATGGAGAGAAAGGGGAAAACGTGGCATTGATATAGAGGCTGCAGTCAGACAGAATGGTGGGGCTAGGCTCAAAAGGGCCAAATGGCCTACTCCTGCTCCCGGTTTCCACAGCACCCCCTGCGGAAAACAGCAAACAGTTCGACCTTAATCCTGCCCCACACCCCCTCCAAGGCATCTGGGGCAGTGCCAGTCCCGTGCTCAGATGAACCACCATCAATGCGAGTGCTGGTGGATTTGCACCTCGACGTTCCGAGGACAGTCGGGCGGGGGGGGTATCATTGCAAAGATGCTGCCCCCACCCCCCAACCTCAGGGAAGGGCAGCAAGACGGCATTCCGACTCCCGGGCACAGACTCAGGGAAGGCTCCCTCCTCAGCCGCACCTTCCCGAAACGATCCCTCCCCCTCCCCACCCCTGACCGGGGCCAAGTAACTGGTTAGTTGTTTTAATGATCACTAAGCAACGACATCGCCCCTGCGCCCACCACCACCCCCCCCCCA